GTTCAAGGAAGGCGACCCACGCACATGCCAACGGCAGCCCGTGCGTTCGGGGGGACTAGGGGCACTGCAGCGAACCACCACAGGCTGGGCGGCTTTCGGTAACAAAGGCGTTCCTCATAATTCAGGAGGCTCTCGGTGTCATTGGGGTTGGTTCCTCTGGGAGGCTCTTAGGGAGAGTGCCCCGTGCCCCTCTCCCAGCTGCCGGTGGTTGCCAGCCATCCTGGGCACTTTTGACCTGCAGCTGTCTCTGCTCCGTCTTCGCATGGGGCTTGCGTGTCCCTGTATTTACACGGCCTTGTTATAGGACACCGGTCACTGGATTTAGGGCCTACCCTCCTCTGCTATGACCTCATCTTAACGGATCGCACCTTTCCAATGTCTCCTGAGCAGCAGGGTTCACAAACAGGGTCACGCTCTGAGGAGCTGGGTGGGCATGAATTTGGGGAAGGCTCTCTTCAGCCCAGTGCTAGTGCCGCACCGCAGTGAGGACGAGCCAACTCCTGGTACCTGTAGCAACGCGGGTGAGACGCACAACACAAGACTTGGTGAAAGAGGGTAGGCGCAACAGCATCTGTCAGCCGGCCCTCCGTATCTGCCGGCTTCAACCCCCGGGGCTGCAGTGTTCAACGTGGCCCGTGCGCACCCTGTAGGGGCCTGCAGTGCTTGTGTCTGTATGGGACTCCAACGCTGTTTTTCTCGTCATTATCCCCCAAACAATGCAGGGTAGCGGTCGTCTACGTAGCATTTGCACCGGAGTAGGAATTACGAGTAACTCAGAGAGGGCTTACACTGCACGGAGGGTGTGCACAGGGAGGAAAGCAATGCCCGTGCCCTGCCCCTTCTCAGTCCTCACCCATCCAGAGAGCGCTCCCCGAGGTAGCGGCTCTTCAGCCACGCGAGAAAATGGAATGCTTTTATTGAATGAGTTCCTTGGAGAAAAAACTACCTTTAGAGGAGAGAGGATAAAATGAGATGCAGGAGCACCCGAAGTGGAAAGGGTCCGGTGTCCAGGCGTGTCCTTGGGCCATAGAGGGTGGCTTGCGTGGGAGCCCAGGCAGACAGGCCGGCTGGCATCAGCCGGCATCAGCGAGCGAGGGCCAGGGAGCAGGAAGAGGCTCCGGCCAGGCGGGGCTGCCGACCTCACTGAGAACAGTGGACAGGAGTGCTCGCGGCCCAGGGCTGGGCGTGGACGGCTTGGTTGGCCGTGCCTGCGCTTGTGCCCTGGGGCCCGGCCCTGACCTACTTCACGGTCCACTCTCCTCCTGAGATATTGGCCTGCTCTCGGGCTGACGGCTGCCCCCCAGAGCCCCCAGGTAACGGGCAGAGGGCACCAATGCGTGCCAGGCGAGAGGCGGGCGTGTGCGTGCAGCTTTTACCTTCTGGTAAAGGAGGAGCTCGCACTCGAATTCCGTCTCCCCGGCCCCCACTCCGTCTTCTCCAAGGACAGACCTGTAACCGGGGCCACCCCGTCAGGTGCGCCAAGTCCTGCCTTGTGCCTGTGGCCCTGGCCTGTGAACAGCGCCCGCCTGCCGCTTCGCCCTCGCAGGTGCCATAGTCGGGGCCATGTAATCTGCGCGAGCGCGTTTCCAGGTCCGGGCTTTCTCAGAAGCAGACGCGAGGCAGACTGGCGTGCAGCGTTCATCTGGGAAGTGCAGGGACACGGGGCCAGGAGAGGTGGGACGAGGGGACAGTGCAGCACATGCACATCGCTGTAAGCCAGCCCCCGTGGGGAGGGCTGGAGTTGGATCTGGGGGCACTCCTGGAAACTGCACAATGCCCCTCAGCAGGTCCCACTTTCTGGGGTGCTGGTATATAACCCGGGCGGAGTGGCTGCTCTTGAGGTTCTGGGAACAAACAACCCTTTGTGGTTCCGGGGGACATTCCCTCAGGCACAGAGAGGCCGAGGCCACACTGGGAAGCCGAGGCCACACTGGGAAGCCCACAGAGCCCACTGGCCAGTCCAGGGAACGAGTGGGCACGGGCAGCGTCCGCCCCACCCCACCGTAACTGGTAACTGTGACTGCCCTTCCTCCTCTCCACGTCAGCCGGTGCTCCGCCTCCTGCCCACTCCCGAGAGCGCCCTGCTCCTCAAACCCAGGAAGCCTTCCCGCACTTGCCCGCAGCTTCTCTGACTTCTCTTGTTTTGGGGGGAGGTTTGGGGTGCTTTGCTGTTCGTTTTAGTTGCCAGAGGGTGCGTGTGCTCCTAGAAACAGGGAGGACGAGGAAGTGGTCACCCCGCCATCGGGCACAGTTCTGCAGCCCCTCCTCCCCACCCCACCCTCCTGTGGGGATTTGAGGCACCACAGGTTTGGCCAGGATCTGTGCTCCGTCAGCCCCAGACTCAGAGCAAAATCGGCTCCAGACAAGCCAGGCCTTCTGTCCAGAGTAAAGCACCCCTATGGGGGGATGCTTTCTCATTTCCTCCCTGCTCTCTGTCTCTCTCTCCTCTCTCTGTCTCTCTTGTCTCTCCTCTCTCTGTCCCTCTGTGTCTCTGTCTCTCCTTTCTCCCTCTCTAAGTCTCTGTCTCCCCTCTCTGTCTCTCCTCTCTGGATCTCCTGTCTCTCCTCTCTCTGTCTCTCCTCTCTCTGTCCCTCTGTGTCTCTGTCTCTCCTTTCTCTGCCCCTCTCTAGGTCTCTGTCTCTCCTCTTTCCTCTCCCTGTCTCTCCCCTCTCTGGCTCCTCTCACCACCCTCTCTGTGCAGGCCCACGTCCGTGGTTCGGCTGTGCGTGCTTGTCCCTATTGGTTCCTGTTGTGATGCCCGGCTCCGTGTACTGGAACTGGGTTCTCTCACTGAGGACTGACCTATGACAGCCCTCCACACCAGTGACCTTGCTTTCTTCCCATCCCTCCCAGTAGCCTGCGCCTCCCCTTCCCACTCGGGCTCATTTAGTAGCTCTTGCCCGGGGGGCTTCTCTCCTCTCCACCTGCCCGGGGGGCTTCTCTCCTCTCCACCTGCCCGGGGGCTTCTCTCCTCTCCACCTGCCCGGGGGCTTCTCTCCTCTCCACTATCCCGGTTTCTGACCTGAGCCCCCTTGACCATGTTAGGACAAAGGCGAGGATGCTCGGCTCAGTGCAGTAACTACGGGGAAGGTGGAGCTCTGCTCGGCTTCCGGAACTCCGGGTCAGGTCCCCAGCGTCACCACCACGCTGTGTCCAATCTCCGCAG